TGGGAAAAAATAATTCAATCTGTTGCAAAGATGACAAAGTAATTTCTAGAGAAAAAAAAAAGGTTAGTTGCAATAATTATGTAACCCAGGCATAGGTGATTCTGTTTTATCACTGAGAGAGATTATAATTTTCAAATTTAAAAGAGTTAATGTGTTGTCTCTAGGAAACCACTGAACTATAAAAGAGTACATCAATTTTAGAAATAATTTTAGTTAATTTCAAATAATTAAAAGTGTGATTATAAAGAAAAAAATTAAATGTTAAATTTTAATCTAAATTATTAATCACTCTACATTTTAATGATATCACAGAATCAGCCTTTTAGATTAGCATTTATCACTTAGGCTCCAGTATACATTTAATGAATACATACATAATCACAAAAAACGCTAATCAATGATCATCCAAATATTGATTTTTGAATGCCCAAATGAGAAAACAAATAAAATAAAATGATCAAATTAACTAGAGTTTAATTAAAATTAATTTCAGGGTTCTGGTGAAAAAACTATGGAAAAATATATATATATATTCCTAATCAATAATAAAAAACTTGTGGAAACATCATATTAGCTGTCTAACTTCACTACCAGAATCCTCTTAGATAGATATTTAAAACCTAAATATGAGAAAAATATATAGGGCAATTATTTTCAAATATTTGACAAAGAGATTTGTAGAATGTTATGAGAGAAATAAGATGAGCTTAAATTATCTGGAATTGCAGAATCCCATAAAGACAGAAATAATCAGGAATAGCACAAATATCTTATGAGATTGAGACATAAAGATTGCAATTTTGCTATGCTATTTGGCTTGAAATGCAATGATCTAAATTGACATGGGAAGATAAGCTATATGTAAGTACAATGAATTTCCATTAGTCAAAGTACAAATACTAAGAAGGAGAAAATTATGCCAAATTGCAAGTTGAAAAATTAATCAAGCATGACTAATGCTGGTAATTTGTCTCCATTCCAAATAACACAACAAACAAGAATTTAGACACAATCAAAGAAAGAATCAGTGAATTAGAGCATAGGAAAATATCTACCAAACTGACACACACAAAGAGAAACAAAAACTGAAAAGCATAGTCTTCTGGACGTGTGGAAGCACACCATTATAGAATTTGGGTAATAGAATTAAGAATGGGAAGGAAGATAGATAAAATTCTTGCAAAAACTATTAGGAGCAAGAATCATTAAAATGTTTCTAAATTTGATGAATATTATAAACCCACAGACCTAAGACCTAATACATCAACAGGTATACATACAACATACACACACAACTTTTACAAAGTATATCATAATAATGTTAATGCTAACAACAAAATTTCATGGCATTAAAAGTAGATAGGTATTTATATAGAAGAAACAGAGATAAGCATATCTATGGATTTCTTCTCTGGAATAACACAAACAAAATGTTGATGAAAAAATTAAAATACTGAGGAAACAAAAAGTGTTATTCTAGAAGTCTATATCCAACTAAAATATATTTTTACGTATTTTGAAATAAAAAGTATTTGAGAACTTGTCAATGGCAGATATACATTATAAGAAAATAATAAGTAGCATTCTTCAGAGAGAACTAAACTGAAAATTAAAATGTTTTACTATAGGAATACACAAGGAGAAAACAGCAAACTGGAAAGAGTAAGTATTACAGGTTTAAAATAAAAAGGTTATTTCCTTATAAGTGATTTTTAACACTTATATAGATATGTCTTCTTATAACACTTATGTAGATATGTCTTCTGTTTCATATACTGATTTAAAATGTATAAACATAATAACCTGACATATAATGATACAATATAATTTGAACACAAACTAAAATAAGGTAAACAATCCAGCTCAAACTAAAATAATACAGGAAAAGCTACATTGAAAATTAGCCAGTACAAGAAGTAAAAATAGTATTCATTCCAAACATTAAACACTCCAATACAAAACAAAAAATAGAAAAGGAAGATACTCTGTGATCAACACTTAAGAGAAAACTGAAACTCTACCTATACTAGTAAAATGAAAAGCATACCTTAAATTTAAAAATCATATGAATTAGTATAACATCTACAAATAAATACATGCAGATATACACAATATTTATTAGCTAATCAAAGAAGGCTATGTGATCATATTTATATTAAGAGAATTTAAGTTACAAATGTACTGAAGTAAAGATGTTTCATTTTTATATGTTTATCATGAAAGTGTAAAATAGTTATATATGAAAATAATGAAAAAACTTCAAACCCCATGAAGCAATATGTGTATAAACAAAACTGAATGATTAACATGACAAAATACATAAAATCATAGATTTTAATTCTATAAACTGAAAAACATAATTGGAGATTAAAATTTCTTCTTTAAATACTTAGTTTTGAAAGTACATGAGCACAGAAGACTTGTGAAAAACATTGGCTACCTTTACCTGACCCTAACCCTAACCCTGCCTCCTGGCCATACTGCTTATTTTTGGGGGGGTTTGTTCATATTGTTTCAGTTATCAAACTCTCAGCTCTATTTTTACAATCCACAGATTTACTGGAGTTTCCCTTCTGGCCAAACTCACAGAATTTTAAATGATCTCATTGGATTCTTTGCTCTTGATCTGTAATATATACTGTTGTACTCTAAGAAAGTAGCTTCATCATTTTGTGTATTATAGCAAACCTGTACCGCGGCTTACTAAATGTTTTTTTTTTCCTAACTGATATGTTAAGTGACCCAATTGATATGTTGAGCAATACTCTCCCCTGTAAAGAATTGCAAGAATTTCACTTAATTGAGATGTTAACCAGAGCGGCCCTCTACAAACAAGAAGAGTGGTGCTAAAACAAGCTAACAAGGGCTGTTAATCACGGTTAGGCGCCTCTATTCTTCGCTAAAGAACTAAAGAAGACAAGAAGGCCCACTAATTTACACATTGTTTGAAGTAGCTTGTTTATATGCAGGGAGATTTGCCTATGAGTTTAACCTTTTTACCTAACCTTAGTTACTCTTCCCACAAGATAGATACTTGCCGTTTTCCTGTTCTGTAGCGCGCCTTATTGCCTCCCCCCACCCACCTATCTGGGCCATAAAGAATTTGGGTTTCTGGTGACCTCTCCCCGACCCGGTGATGATCTGTCATGAGATGAGCCGGCCCCAATTGTAGGAACTGCTTAGCTTAAGAGAAATTACCGGGTAATACTATGGCCCAAACCCCGATCGGTGCTTTCCTTTTGTTCTGTATGTACCAATGGGTTAGATATCAGATCTTTGTAAAACTTAAGTTCCAGCATCTCATAACTCATGACCCCTTCGCACTCACTGGCGAAGACAAGCTGTCCTGGGATAATTAACTCTCCGCTTTCTTCTCCAAATATTGCTGCAGACGTGCCACTCTGAGATAATGTCAGTCTGCAGGATGGGAGTAATTTGAGCAACAACAGGAACTCCCGGGACTGTCAGAGCTAAGTGGACAGCAATATAGTTTCCAGATGCGGGTCAACAGGTTTAATGGCCTTACAGGTTTCCCCCCACTTTCCCTTACTTTTAAAAACCCCCTTTCCCCAGTCTGGAGGCGCAGTCTTTGGGTTGATCCAGGAGAGACTGTGCCGCCAGGACTGGCTCAATAAAGCCTTTGCCACTTAAGTTTTGGACTCTTGTTTCCGTGGACTTTATACCGGGGCCCACGTTACAACATATATCTGGCTAACAGCCCCCCCAAAAAAATATCTATGCCACAGTCTCAGCATTTGACTGCCTTGAAATTTCCTTTGTCAGACTAATCAGTCCATTGCCCTTCATTTTAGTCTCAGGCAAAGTCTATGGGCATGAGAAAAATGTAGACAAACTTTCTGTCAAGACATAACACACGTCGTGGGGAGTACAAACAGCAATGCAGTCCTTTTTTCTGGCAGAAACCTCCCAAGCCTGATCTTTACCGTCAGGCTTTCTATCAGTCTTCTGGTCTCCTGGGTTAAGTTTTGACCAGAATCTCCTCTACAGAAAAGCCTAAGCTGCCCTAGCTCTATGCATCCAGGACACATGTCCCAACCTTTTAAAACTCTGCCCACAAGCCATTTCTAAAGCCTTTCTCTCAATAAACATGGTCAGGTATGGCCACATGAATGACTCCACTCCTAGGTACAAAAGCAGAGAGAGAACCAAAAGCAGAAAGAGACAGAGCCAGAGAGATAGCAAAAAGAGGGAAACAGGACTGAAGTGGGTTCATGAATGATCTAGAAGGCCAATCAGTGGCTAAATGGATAGATACAGGAGCCGGGCCGGGCCGGGCCGGGCCGGGCCGGGCCGGGCCGACCCGACCCGAGCCGACCCGGGCCGACCCGACCCGAGCCGACCCGACCCGACCCGCGCAATCAACCACTCGCATTGACCCCTCTTTTTGGAGTCTCCCGACCCGACCCGACCCGCGCAATCAACCACTCGCATTGACCCCTCTTTTTGGAGTCTCCCGACCCGACCCGACCCGCGCAATCAACCACTCGCATTGACCCCTCTTTTTGGAGTCTCCCGACCCGACCCGACCCGCGCAATCAACCACTCGCATTGACCCCTCTTTTTGGAGTCTCCCGACCCGACCCGACCCGCGCAATCAACCACTCGCATTGACCCCTCTTTTTGGAGTCTCCCGACCCGACCCGACCCGCGCAATCAACCACTCGCATTGACCCCTCTTTTTGGAGTCTCACAGAGTGGTTGGCCCTGATCTGGAAAATCACAATGATTTCAGACAGAGAACAACCACAGAAAAGAAACAATTCCTTCTCTGTGCAAATGATTTAGGTAGAATCTGATATTCATTGATTTTTGGTTCAACAGACAGACACCCAAAAGCAGAAAGAGAAAGAGCAAAAAGAGGCAAAGGACTCAACAGAAAGCAGAAAGTGAGGTAGGGAGTTCATAAACAACAATATAGGAATCTAAGCGGCCACAATGATAAATTTGGAATTTAATTAACTAAGCTCAGGACTACTCACCCAACACCACCATCCCTGGTTCAGAGTTCCAAACAGGTGGCCCTGAAATGGAAATTACCAGAGTTTTTAAAAGAGAGAATCACAAAACTCATCCTGTTGGAAACAATTTATCTTGGATCTTCCATTCATTTTCACTTGACTAATACCTGTATCCTGCTTCTTTTGTGGATCAGGTTTTCATTTTTCTCATTCTGTAGATACTACAGCTCATTCTACTTCACTCATGGGACTTATACCCTGAGTACTTTTCCATTTTTCTGCATCAAAGACAGGGCACTAGTGAAATGAAATGCAGGGCTCAAGATAGATGGTCTCAGTTATGCCAAGTTACACCATGAGCCAGAGAGGGAAAAGAGGCAATGGTGCTGGAGTGGGTTCCTGAATGACAGACAGACAGGTAAATCTGAGCAGCTAGATGGATACATTTGCAGTGCAGTGAGCTGAGTTGAGCTGAGTTGAGCTGGGCAGCCACCATTCATGTAGATCTCTTGTTTCAGAGTCTCACAGAGTGGTTGGCCCCAAACCAGGAAAAGAAAAACAATCACAAAGATTTTGAATAGACAGTAAATCACAAAAAGGAAAGATGTCCTGCTAGGAAAATTTTAGCTAGAGTCTGATACTGATTTTTGGTTCGGCAGACAGACAGCCATCCACCACCCACCCAGTTGTCTCCTGCTTCAATGATGGAGTGAGTGTGTTGATTTTTTTCTTCTGTGTGTGGTTATGGCTCATTCTGCTTTTCTCATGGGACTTAGACCCTCCCTCCCTGAGTGTGGATCTTCCATGTTTCACCAATCTTTTGAACCCAGAACCACCAATAAAACACAGACAGACAGGTGTCCTATGTGGAAAGATCAAGAGAGAGTCTTGCATTGATTTTGGGGTGGCATGTGTTTGTTAGGGTGAGAAATGTGGCATATGTGTATGTGTTTAGGGTGAAGGTGGGGAGCAGGACTTGTGTGTGTTTTTAGGGTGAGGATGAGGAACAGGACATGTTTGTGTGTTGTTAGGGTGAAGGTGAAGATCATGTGAACTCAGAACATCTTTTCTTGAGTGATTTTCTATGTTTCACAAAGCTTTGTGACACAGAACTGCCAAAAAAAACCCAGACAGACAGACATCACATCGGGCATGATTTGGCTAACTTGAATATGACATTGCTTTTTGATCAGCAGACAGACCACATCACCTCAGTCTCCTGCTTCTTTGGTTGAGCAAGTGAGCAAAAGGGTGGCTTTTTGCCCCGTGTGTCTGCATGTATGTCTGTGGAGGGTACTGTTCTTTCTTCTTTGCTCATGGGAGGGGAACTCATATCCTGAGTAGTTTTCTGCTCTCATGAGTCAGATATGGGACAGCCACTAGTTATAAACATGTGGTGTTCTGGAGTCATACAGGAGTCAGACACTAGTTACATACATGAAGGGCTCACTCGAGACTGCAAACATTGTTGATGACAAGCTAAGACAGAATGACAAGCAGATGTGTTTCAGAGTTTGGCAGAGTGAATGAGTGAGACAGTGGCCCCAAACAGCAAAATCATTGAGTCTTTGAATAGAAAGAACCACAGAAAAGAATAAAAACACAGACATCCCATCGGAAATGAGAGATAGCTTGGATGTGACATTGACTTTGGGTCCACAGACACCAAAGTCTCCCTCTCCCTCCCAAGCTTCATTGGTAGAGTGGAGAGATGGAGGTTTGGGGTTGAATTTTCTCTCCCCCAGGGGGTACAGTGGGTCATCCAACTTATCGGCTCTTCTCATAGGACTGACTCACACAGACCTTGAGTGAATTTCCATTATTCCTTCCTCATGAGTGATGTCCACATACTACACAGGGGTTTGTTCCAGTGGGGCTTGAGAGAGATGGTGTTAGTGAGGCCAAGCCACAGTGTCAGGGACCAGAGCTGATAGAAGAAAAGATGACATCACAAGGAGCCTGGTGGAAGAGAGTGGATGTGGGAGGAAGGAGACTCCTGCTTGCCAGAAGCCTCAGAGGAGAGGAGAGGTGAGATGAAATGAGGGAGGGCAGCAAAATGAGACAGGAGGTCTGCTCCCTCCAACCTGAAGACCTTCTGGCCAGATCAGCCCATGTTCGAAGCCCCTTTGCACAACCATAGCGCAACCATTGTCCATAGCGCAACCATTGTCTCAGCCCCTTGACCCTCTCTCAGAGCCCTGAAATGTGAACCCTAAAACCCTAATGCTTTACCCTAAACCTAAGTCTAATGCTAAGCCTATCCCTAAGTGTAATCCTCCCAAAGGTGATGCCGTCTCCCTTCTGTACTTCCCCTCACCCCATGAAAGGTCCTTCCCAGAATGCATCTGTCCTGGGCTACGTCTGTGGTGTGTTTCTCTGCCTCTCTCTGTCTCTGTTAAGTTCCGGATCTTCCACTGTGGCTGGTTTCAGAGCTGCGCCCTTTGGTAGCCAGAAGGTGGAATAGGCAGTGGCATCAGAGTACTGCCACAGAAACTATTAGCTTCTACAGTCAGAGGACAATGACTGAAGGTGCTAACCGTGACTGACTGACCAGGTGGTCCATAGAACCTTCCCCACAGACCCCTTCACCCCAGGATGGGAGCGGGAAAGAGTGCCTGGATGTTGGGTCCAGGGGCTTCCCTAAGCCACTGGCTCATTAATCCTAGCAGTTTAGCTCCCTAATCATTACCCTGTGCTAACCCTAACCCCTGCCACTGGCCACATCCCTGCTATGTGATATCTATGGCAAACTCTTAACAATAACCCCCTGTATCAGTGAAATGAGGTTAAACATTTTGGAAAGGCAAAGGAATGAGATAAGCATAGCCATTTCAAAAGTTATAAACAGGGGACTATAAAGCATTGGGAACAAAGCCAGTCTAACATCCAGCAGGGCTAACGTTAAGTCTTAGAGTTTATGCTTGGCATCTGAAGCAGTCTCTCCCGTTGTAAGATCTATAGGCTTGGGTATTTCCACCCCCATGGCATGCACATCCAGGGATTTGAGCTCCTGTGGCAAGCTTTTCTCTTAAAGCCTCTCTGCTCACTGTTTGCAGCTTTCTTTCCTCCAATGATTTGTGTTTGTAGATTTTTTTAAACTTTTGGGGTTTCCACTGCACCTTTGGCTTTACCCTGATATCTTTGATTTTCCCACTTCGGAGCACACTACTTGGCCTAACCTAGGTCCTTTGCAATTGAGGTAGAAGCCATCTTACTCTCGGAATTCCTGCATTCATCTTATATCTAAAATCAGCACTGTGTGGATACCAGCTGCCAGTCTGCTTCCAGCTGGAGCAGTACCCAGGCTTCCTCCCTTGTGTCCAGTAGGGGATGTAGGGGACCAGTGGCTGGGCTCTGTTTACATGATTATTGTGAGGAAAACTTGCCTGCATTGCCACCATTTTGGAACCTCCTGTGGCCTCTGTTGACATTTTGAAGCATGGTGCTCTGAAGCTTTCTCCTCTGTTCTGAGCAAATTCTTTTCACTTTTGCAGTTTTGAGGCTGCAATGTGGAGACACATTGCTTTCTCAGATGCCCCCTAGACATCTTGCTTATTTTTTTTTTGGTTTTTTTCTCAGCCATAAAAATTTCAGCTCTTTCTTTACAATCCACAGCTTCAATGGAATTTCCCCTTCTGGCCAAACTCACAGCGTTTTAAATGATCTTGTTGGGCTCTTTTCTCTTGATCTGTAATCATGTATCTGGCTAACAGCCCCCTGATTGTACCCATACCACCACCTCAGCATTTGACTGCATTGAAGTTTCTTTTTGACAGATTAATCCATCCATTGACCTTCATCTCATTCAGTCTCCTACAGTCTCTGGTCATAAGCAAAATGCAGACAAACTTTCTGCCAAGCTGTAATACACATTATAGTGAGTCCAACCAGAAATTCAGTTCTTTTTTCCAGCAGAAATCTCCCAAGCCTGGTCTTAACCATCAGGCTTTCTATCAGCCTTCTTGTCTCCTGGGTTAAGTTCTGACCAGAATCTCCTCTACAGAGCAACCTAAACTGCTCTAGCTCTATGCATTCACCCAGGCCACATGTCCAAACCTTTATAAACACTGCCCATAAGCCATTTTTAAGCCTGTCTCTTAAAAAAACTGGTCAGGTACGGAAACAGGAATGACTTCACTCCTCAGTACAAAAGCAGAGAGAGAATCAAAAACAGGCAAAGGCCCCTGAAGAAAACAGACAGAGAGAGAGTGAAAAGAGCTAAATAGGACTGAAGTGGGTTTGTGAATGATCTAGGAGTCCAATTAGTGGCCAAATGGATAGATACATACAGAGTTTAGTGAGCTGAACTGAGCTGAGCTGAGCTGAGCTGAGTTGGGTGACTGACCACCACATGCGTGGACCCCTCATTTCAGAGTCTCACACAGTGGCTGTCCCTGATCTGGAAAATCACAAAAATTTCAGACAAAGAACAACTGTAGACAAGAAAGACTTCCTTCCCCTCTAGAAATGATTTAGGTACAATCTGACATTCATTGATATTTTTGGTTCAACAGACAAACAAAAAGAACAGACAGACACTCCAAAGCAGGTAAAAAGAGAGAGAGGGAGAGGGAGAGGGAGAGGGAGAGAGAGAGAGAGAGAGAGAGAGAGAGAGAGAGAGAGAGAGAGAGAGGGAGAGAGAGCAAAAAGAGTCAAAGGACTTGAAAGAAAGCAGAGACTGAGGTAGGGGTTCATGAAAAACAATATAGAAATCCAAGCATCCACACTGACAAATTTGGAATTTGATTAACTGAGTTCAGGACCATGCACTCATATATGGACCCCCACTACCACCCATGGTTTAGGGTCTCAAACAAGTGGCCCTGAACTGGAAAGTGACAGAGTTTTTAAAACAGAGAATCACAAAAGACATGCTGTTGGAAACAATTTAGCTCAAATCTTTCCTTCATTTACAGTTGAATGACACCTGTATCCTGCTTCTTTTGTGGAGCAAGTTTTCATTTTTCTCATTCTGTAGATACTACAGCTCATTCAGCTTTGCTCATGGGATTTATACCCTGGTAATTTTCCATTTTCCTGCATCAAAAACAGGGCATTGGTGA